CACAAACCTTAAATTTAAGACGTCAGGCTGAACACATTTCTATGTGTATGTAAATCAGCTCGTAGGTGATTTTAATGTTTTGTCTGATTTAGTTTCAAAGCATCAACAAGCTGATAAGAAGTTTCATCTGTTTTGTGTGTGTGTGTGTGTGTGTGTGTGTGTGTGTGTGTGTGTGTGTGTGTGTCCTTTTACGGTTGGGTTGTGCCATCAGCCTTTGGCATGTGAAGTTTTGACCTTAACATGAACTCAACACTGGCATTTACAAGGTCTTTACACTGTTATCCAGGCAGCAGTACACACTCCCTGCAGGGTAAACACACACACATATATAGTCACGCAAACTCATGTGTGTAGATGGAGGGATGACAGAGAGAGCGAGGAAGGTGCTCTTGGTCTTGTTGGTCTAATAACTGACCAGAGAACAGCTCAGCGTGATCTTTAATGTGTGCATGAGAAGCGACACGCACACTAAACACACAATATGCAAATGAAATCCAACTTCCTGTTGATATTTTATACTAGTCTGATGATTTCCAGACAGAAAAAATATTTAAATACAAAGAAAAAACTAATTCACAATTCACATAATGAAATAAAAGTAAAATATGTAGTAGTTCAGTACAGTAATGTAGTTTAGTATTTGTGTGTGTGTTTTATCTCATAAACTGTTTATGCAAAACAGAGACGACAGGCTCATTAAAAATGAATGGAGGAGTTTATTGTATATCATTAATAAATAAATAGATGAGAGCGTCATAAAGGGATGCACGGTTGTTTTTATATTAATTAATAATAATAGTAATCGCTCTCTCTCTCTCTCTCTCTCTCTCTCTCTCTCTCAGGTGTGGAGGCAGAGCTTCTGCCTGACGCCGCTCCTGTGGTTGTCTGGAGACTCATCGAGGCCGTCGAGAAACACGGTGAGAAAACACACATGATGAGGATGAGGAGTGAAAGTCTCCGTCATGCTTTAAAGGACTAGTTCAGCATTTAGCTTTTTTCTCTGAAAGTGAGATGAGAAGCGTGACGTCAATCTGTCAATCTCATGTCCCTGTGTTATGTACGTGAAGTGTGACGCTAGAGTCAGAATGTGATTAGCCTAGCTTAGCATAAAGACTGGAAGCAAGAGGAAACAGCCTGGCTCTGTCTGAAGTTTAAAAACACACTTACCAACATCTCTACAGCTCGCTGATCATTTAACCTGTACAGAAAGAGAAATATATGGTAATTGGACTGCGCTTCAAGTGTCTTGGGGTCTTGTTCACGAGTGAGGGTAAGATGGAACGGGAGGTTGACAGATGGAGCTGCGTGGCGTCAGCAGGAATGTGGACGTTGTACCAGACTGTTGCGGTAAAGGTGGAGCTCAGCCAAAAGACAAAACTCTCAATTTACCAGTTGATCTTCGTTCCAATCCTCACCAATGGCCGTGAGCTCTGGGTAGTGCCAGAAAGAATGAGATTGTTGGTACAGGCGGCTGAAATTAGGTTTCATCCGCAGGGTGTCTGGGCTCAGCCTTAGAGGGTGAGGAGTTCAGAGTAGGGTTGATGCTTCTTCACGTCGAAAGGAGCCAGTTGAGGTGGGTCAGGGGTCTGATCAGGATGCCTACCGGGCACCTTCCTTTGGAGGTTCTCCGGGCACGTCCAACTGGTAGGAAGCCTCGAGGTTGATCCAGAACTTGCTGGAGGGATTACATACCCCATCTGGCCTGTGGACCCCCTAGGAGGAGCCGGAAAGCATTGGTGGGGAGAGGGAATACCACCGTGCCCCGATCCACGATAAGCCGAAAATAAAACGGATGGATGGATGTTACACTGGAGGCAATTTGGGGTTCAGTATCTTGCCCCAAGGGCACTTTGACATGTCGACAGGGAGAGCTTGGAATTGAACCGCTCACCTTCCGACGAATGAACAACCCGCTCTACCTCCTGAACTTCAGCCGCCTCCTATATAAGATAAAAAAACACAGTTTGTGATTTTAGAGGGGTTTACATGTTGGATCTATTTCTTGACAAACAAGAGAGTATCAATCTGCCCCAGCCTCTCCAGCCATAGCACGATGTTTCCAAACCTGGCAACCTCAGACTAACATGTTTATCAGCGAGTTGTAAAGGTGTGTGGCTCCTCTTTATACTGAGACTGGCAGCTTTTGATGACAGTATTTCATTACTAAAGTGGATTCATCTCTCCAGTAGAACATATGATAAATAAATGTGTTTCTGTCTTCTGTGGCAGCAGATGTTATATTTTATAATTCAGCAGTATCGCATGAAAAATGTCATTTAACCCACCATCTGTAACCTGGAGCCGTAATCACAGACTTCATCATTTGTAAAGCATAATGTGTATCAGTCTGTCTTTAGCCCAAAGGAAAAAACTTCCCTTCACTTCCTCTTTCTTCTTCCATCTCTGTTTTTTTTCTCTGCAGGTTTAAACATTGAGTCTCTGTATCGGGCTCCTCCAACCTCCGGTGGACTGGTGGAGCTGCGGCAGTCTCTGGACTCAGGTACACACTCCTGTCCTGTTGTAGTAATTGCAATAAGGCTAGCTGCTAGATGAGATTGTTTTCATTTATATATTATATATATTGAGCCTGTCAGAGAACAGAGAACACTCTACTCCCTTCACATCATTACTGCTCCCTCTCATGTACCAGTTGCAAAATATCACGCAACTGTTGTGTCACTATTGTAACTGTCCTTCATGTTTGAATGATGCCAAAAAAAAACATCGATTTTACAGATAGATGAAGCCACAAATGTTACATAATACATACACCGTGTTTAGGCTTTGAGTCTAATGTAGAAGGTGTAACAGGTGGTTTCATCATAAGGAACCACAGCTCTAAACTCTGATCCCTGTTCTCCTGTTTGTTCTTAAACCAACACAAACTCCTGCTGAAGCTGCACCGGCTCGGATCAGTGGAGCTGAAGTAGCTCAGATAAAAAAAAAAAAAAAAGAAGAAAAAAAAGTCGGCCAAGTTTGAGTTGCTGAAGTTCAGGTTTGGCACCACCAGGGAGTGCTCTGACTCTGTACTTTTGTTGTGGGGGGAAGGAGGGGGGGGAGTCACAAAATCGAGTCTGAGGAGGAGAGAGAGGAGAGACAACAGATTTATTATCATTGACAGACTGATGCTGCTTATGATATTTCATGCATCCTTACCTGTATAGTATGACCTGTATATGAAACATGGAACTTCCTGAATGGAGTTCGGCCTCTTTATGCAAACTCATACAGACTCCAGTGAGTGGCTGCAGGTCATGCAGCGCTGTCCTGCAGGTGTGTGTTTATATAGAGAAACAGATGATTGGCCAACAGGTAGAAAACAGAAATGTGTTGTTGTGTAATATTCATTGAGGCAGTTACATGTTGACAGACTGATCAGAGGAACTCCATGCATTCATATTGTTAGCATATTATTTAGCACAAGTACAGTGCAGCTTTTACAGATTACTTCAGGGAGCGTTTCCTTAAGAGTTTACTGTCAGCTGATCGCTTTAATGGCAGTTTAGCCGGTTGGTAGCTGGTTGAACAGTTTAGCACAGTTGGAAGTGGACCAGGACCCTGCTCTTGAGGCGTTCTGGGACTGGGACCAGAGTCCGACTGACAGCTTTCACACCAACACAGAGTTTGTTTGGATTTTTCTTCTCTCCTCCCACGTTTGCCTTTTTACAACAACAATAAGTTAAGCACCACCTCACTCCTAACAAATTACTGCATTGAATCTGTGTAAAAACTCAGAAGCGAAGCTGTTTGGCTGCACAGTCTTTGAAGCTGAAGCTGAGGGTACAGATAAACTTGCTTCTGCAAGTATAAACAAGTATAAACACTGGAGATCCAGTTCATCTTAGATCGGCCTTTCTCAAAGAGTGGTCCTCTTGTGGCCTGCGAGTAAATTTGTTTAAGTATCATGTTTTAAATTTAATTTCTAACTTTCTGTGACTGACCACAAAGTAGTGAGTAGTGTATGAAGTTTTCAACATTAAATGAAATCATATGTAAATTCAAACATTATTATTTGAATTGACTATTCTGCAGTGTGGTTGGACTTCACTATAACTGTCTACTCCGAGGCTTCATCAATTTACAGTTAATGTTTTATAAATAATCAGCGTTAAAAAGGATTTTGAAAGGAAATGTGGGAGAAGCTAACAGTTAGCCTGAGGTGGGACTGTTTAAATTCTTGTGTTTGAGAACCATTGTCTTAGATTTTTTTTTTTTTTTTTTTGGTGGGGGGGCATTTTTGCCTTTATTGTGATAGTCACAGTGAGAGAAAGACAGGAAAGTCAGGGGGAGAGAGAGAGAGAGAGAGAGAGGATGACATGCAGCAAAGGGCTGTGAGTTGGATTCAAACAAATTTGAAATTACCCGCAGTTCGTTCGAATTAATTCAAATGCCCCGATCCCCACCCCCCCACCCTCTGCGCGCACTCACACCTGCTCCCGCAAAACACCACAACACGTCATTATTTTCCTTACTTTATACATTTTTAACGGCTGCATTAAATCATCCTTTTGTTCATGCCTTCTGCTACTAACCTTGCTCTCAATAAAACAACGTTTAAAAAAAAAAGAAAAAAAAAGCACCCCACCTTTCATTCAGTGAAACTCAAAGTCTCTAAGTGCTACAGTAACATAGAACACACAGTACGACAGACAACAGGAGGGAGCTCCGACACCTTCCAACTAATAATGTAGCAAGGTAAACACGGAGCCGATAGTCAAGCCAAATGGTCCAACCTAATTTCTGATATGATTTACCTGACACACAAGTCTATCAACATGATCCGGATCGAGTTCAAGACTGCAGGCTACATTTCAAACAGGTCATTACAGTTCGAATAAGAACTTTTCACCCCACGTTGGAACGAATGTTGGAATTTAAATTAAAACGTGACAGCCCTAATGGCCGCTGCGGTTAGGACTGAGCCTATATGGTACGTGCTCTACCAGGTGAGCCACCGGGCCGCCCCGACCACGGTCTTAGATATAACAGATATAGATATAATGCTCTCTGTACAAACTCAGCTTCAAGACACTATGTATTAGCTGAACTGTAGCTTTAGATTTCCCAGTGAGGTTTAAAGAAAGTATTTAACACGAGCTAGAAGTTAGTTTTGTGCTGGTACCTCAAACAGTCTGCACTAAATCAGGCTGTTGGCAGCTCTGAGCGGTAACACTTCAAACACTGTTTGAATACCAGTTCCCCTAAAAGAGCATAACAGATCAGTAAATTGCACAAAGCACCGAGCCTGTCAGTCTGTGATCAATTTACAGGATCCAAAAGGAGGGAAATCCAAAGTTTGAGCGGCCTGATTTCTTTTTTTTTTGTTTTCAGCGTTTTGGGAGCATTTTAATCCCCGTTCAGGTCCTGAGGGTTTTGCTGACAGGTTCCAGTTGGAGTGGAAGAGCTCTATCTGGGCAAATATACTGTGAATTTACTGCTCTTTAATCAACTCACACTTAGTTAGCAGGGAGGAGGCTGCTGACCTTCTGCTCAAAGTCTGTTACTGGTGCAGCTTTAAATCTCTGACTCATAAAGTCCAGTAACTTGTTCTGTACTATGAAAATCAGATCCAGGTTTTGTGAAACTGGGAAATTCCCTTTAATGTTTTATCCAAGAGATTTAAACAATAAGGATCAGGAGACATAAAATGAGAATAAATGACTTGTTATGAAAGTTGTTTGGTCCAATTTCTCTGCAGTGAAAGACAACAACTCTGCAAATCCAATACAGATTGAGTATAGATAGTAGATTTAGTGCAGAAGAAGCAAACACACACACACACACACACACACACACACACACACACACACACACCTGGCCTCCTTGGGCAGTGTTGGGAGGTCAGCATGGGGCCAAAGATATGCACATACTCAAAGTAATTAACTGAAAGGAGCTGACATGTCGGCACTCAGAGGAATTTAACATGCAGGTTTGACACGCACACCCACATATATGTTGAGACAGAAAGGGGGGCGCACGAGAGAAGTCCTGCACACGTTATGGTTGAAAACGCAGAGAAATGCAACTGCTGACATCCCATAGTCACTCCGGCTTTATGTACACAGCGTGGTTTAATAGACACGGACACATCCTATGGAATATATATGAAAAGCAGTAGCTTACTTAGATTTGTCCTGACATGTGGCTGCAAGGTCACATGAAAACACACACACACACACACACACACACAAAGGAAGAGTGAGGTTTGAATGATGGAGGTAGGAGAGAGAGGGGTGGTGTGTGTGATGTGTGAAAAACCCTCAGGATGGAAAGTGGGAGGGGAGAGAGAAAGACACAAGTGTCATATAGAATCATCTTTTTCTGTCTTCTCTCTGTGTTGGCAGTCTGAATTGTGCAATCAGATGATATGGAGGGTAAAACGTGTCTTACTGTCTCAGTCAGGGTCAGAATATTAAAAATACTGAGATCAAAAATATCAAAAAGTTTTCATTGGCCACCAAAAGGAAATGATCTGCTGATGGACATATTGATCTGTATTGATTTGTTTGTTGGCCTAACAGTAGTAATGTTTCAGTTGTAGAGTATTAACTCCTCCCAGGTCCCGAAACCCTCAAATTCCCAGAAATATAATGGAAGACAAGTTCTGCAATTTGTTTTTGTAAAATAAATGGTCAGGACATCTGACAGTAAACTCAACACATGTGTGGCAGTGTCCCACCCACTCCACCATCTGATTGGTTAGACGTCATGAGTAATAGCCTATCTGAGGGCTGCTGTGTACACAGACAGTCACAGAATAGAGCAGCTGCGGTTAATGAGCGGAGCTGTGTGTTGAAGGTAGGAGCAGACATCATGAAGATGTAATAAGCATCACAATCCTCCACACTGAAGCTACAACAACACCACACTGATGAACAAGTTCATCTGTTGGTCCAAGACACACCGAGCAAGAGAGAGAGAAGCTAGCGCTAGCTGCTAAGCTAAAGTAAGTAGCTGATGTGAACAGCATGTCAACAACTGCTGAGTTAGTGAAAGTCATAAAAGGAGCAGAGAGCTCTGGGTGCTGGAGCACAACTAGTGTAAGTTTAAATGTACAGCAGGTAGTTAGTCACTGTGATGAAGAAAAGGAAGCATGAGACACTACAGTGACTGCAGCACGTCAGCAGGTGAACGGTCACAAACACTCACTAACTGTTACTGAGAAGATATTTTACTACAGTAGAAGTAAATCACTGTGTAAAATGTTCTCAGATAAAAGTACAAAGTAGGTCAGTTAAAATACTTCTGAGTAAACTTGTTACATTTTAAAAGGGGAGTGGTAAAACATATTACATGGTGATAATAATAATATATTAGATTTGATGATTTAAATACAAACTGATAAGTGAAAAATACAAACTGATTAGGGACTATAATAAAATGATGATCTCATTATAGCTATCAAATGGCTCCAAAAAAAGTCTTGGAAAACACAATTAATTTTAGAGAAAACATTTTGATGTTTCCTTGAGAAGTTTAATCAACACTGTCTTTTAGGCT